ATTTGATCTCTGTTGGTCAATTAACTAAGCATGGTTGTCGGGTTGTGTTTGCACCTTCTGGCTGTTCTGTGCAGGATCTGAAGACGGGGCGGGAGATCGGCAAGGGTAGTAAACATGGGCGCATCTTTCATCTCGATCAGCTTGAAGAACTGCAGTCATCATCATCACGTCCTCCTTCGGTGTCTAGGTCATTGTCTTTTCCGGTCTTCTCGAGTCTAGGTGATCGTCATTTTCACTTGTGGCATGCCCGATTGGGTCATCCCAATTCTGCTCGCCTTAGTACAATGTTCAAACAGCATCTTTTCGGCTCTAAAGTTGCTCATTCGTCGGACTTTTCATGTACTAGTTGTGTGGAGGCTAAGACCACAAGAATTTCTTTTCCATCGAGTCAGACTATTATCACTGAACCATTTCATTTAATTCATACCGACTTGTGGGGGCCTAGTTCTGTTACTTCTCGTAATGGTTACAAGTATTTTGCACTATTTATCGATCATGCCACTCGGTTTACATGGGTCTACTTTCTTCGTCTTAAATCTGATCTTTTAGCCATTGCTAATGAATTTATAAAGATGATTCAGACTCAGTTTGGTAAGACCGTTCGTGTAGTCCGATCCGATCCTGGTGGGGAATTTAGTTCCACTCCACTTCTTGATTTGTACAAGAGTCTTGGTATCCTTACTCAAAAATCCTGTCCCGGTGTTTCTCAACAGAATGGCCTTGTTGAGCGGAAAAATAGGCATGTCCTTGAGGTAACTCGTGCTTTACTGTTAGCTTCCCATGTTCCCTCTTATTTCTGGCCAGAAACTGTTTCCACAGCTGTACGTCTCATTAACTATCAGATTACCCCGGTCTTAGGTCAGGTCAGTCCATATTTGCAGCTCTATGGAAAACACCCTCCCTACTCGAGTCTTCGTGTTTTTGGATGTCTCTGCTTTGTTCTTCTTCCCCAAGCAGAACGTACTAAATTAACCTCCAAAACGGTTCGGTGTGCTTTTCTTGGTTACAGTGACATCCATAAAGGGTATTTGTGCTATGATTCCTCCCTTCGTCGTCTTCGTATTGCATGTAATGTCGTGTTCTTTGAAAACCTCATGTACTACTCTCCTTCCACCGAGTCCTCTCCCTTGTTCGAAGTCCATCTTCCTCTGCCCGTTTTTCCTGATGATGATGATGATGCAGCTCCGGACATGGATCCCCCGGACAGCCCACTGCCCTTGTCCCCAGCTCCCTCGTCTCCGGCCCCATCGTCTCCGCCATCTCCCAGCTCGGCCTCAACTTCTGCGGCATCTTCTTCACCTTCGCCTCCGCCTGATCCCTTGCCACTTCGACGGTCACAGAGATCTACGCAAGGCTGTCCGCCTGTCTACTACCGTGACTTTGTTTCTTTTCAGGTTGACCCAATCAAGATTCCCACGAAATACTCTCAGGCAGTTGGTGATCCTCGCTGGGACGGGGCTATGACCGATGAAATTTCAGCTCTTCATGCCAACAATACATGGGAAATGGTTGATCGTCCGCCCCCGGAGATACCTGTTGTGGGCAGTAGGTGGGTCTATGCGATCAAGGTCCTACCAGATGGAACTATTGAGAGATTCAAGGCGAGGGTTGTTGCCCAAGGGTTTACCCAACAGTATGGCATCGACTTTGAGGAGACCTTTGCTCCTGTAGCAAAGATGGTCACGGTTCGATCTTTACTAGCAGTTGCCTCTATTCGAGGATGGCCTCTCTATCAACTGGATGTCAAAAATGCATTTTTGCATGGGGAACTTAAGGAGACAGTTTACATGGAACCTCCTCCTGGGTACTCATTCGGCACTCCTGGTCAGGTCTGTCTTCTTCATCGTTCTATCTATGGGTTAAAACAGGCACCGCGAGCCTGGTTTGATAAATTTCAGTCCACCATTCTTGATCTTGGGTTCATTCAGAGTCTGAATGACCCATCACTGTTCACTCGACATACTTCACGTGGTCTGGTAGTGCTCCTTCTTTATGTAGATGATATGATTGTGACGGGAGATGATACGACAGGGATTGATGCACTCACGAAAGGACTTCATGCGTCCTTCAACCTCAAGGAGCTTGGCTCTCTATCGTACTATCTTGGCTTGGAAGTTACTCGATCCCCTGCAGGTATCCTATTGAGCCAGAAGAAATATATTGAGGATTTACTTGAAGCAGCTCGTTATACAGACAGTGTCCCAGTCTCTACACCTATGGAGCTCAATTTGAAGCTTGGCCGTGATACTGGAGATCTCTTGAAAGACGGGGGGAAGCAGTAGCGCAGTATCGTTGGGAGCCTCATCTATCTTGCTTCTACACGACCAGATATTGCATACGCAGTACAGATTGTTAGCCAGTTTATGGCAACACCTCGGACAGCACATATGGATGCAGTTCATCGGATATTACGATATCTATGGGGTACCTCAGATGTTGGGTTATTTCTTCCATCATCTGGGTCCTTGGCTCTTCAAGCATTCTCCGATTCAGACTATGCAGGGTGCATTGACACTAGGAAATCTACTTCTGGCTGGTGTATTCGTTTAGGAGGATCTTTTATCTCTTGGCGGTGCAAGAAGCAGGATCGAGTGTCAAAATCTTCTACTGAGGCTGAATACAGAGCTATGTCTGAGGTCACATCAGAGCTTGAATGGTTGCAGAGGTTGCTGGGTGATCTTGGAGTACAGTGTGCTAGTCCTCTGGAACTTTTTGTTGATAATACTAGTGCGATTCGCATAGCTACAAATCCAGTTATGCATGATCGAACCAAGCATATTGAGGTGCATATCCATTACATCAGGAATCTTGTTCGAGACGGCACTATTCGCATATCTTATATCTCCTCCGAAGACCAGATAGCAGATCTGTTCACTAAGTCCTTTTCAGCTAGTCAGCATTTCTTTCTGTCTGGCAAATTGCTGTTGAGAACTCCCCATCAATTTGGGGGAGGCTGTTGAGAGATGAATTGTAGGGCTTCGGCCCATACCGAGTTCGGCCCATGATAATGGCCGAATGAGGGATTAGGGTTTAGCAAACCCTACTTGTATATATGTACCATGAGTGTACAGTGTTAAGCTAAGAGAAATAATAGAGAAACTAGCTTGACCGTGGACTAGTCTTGTTCTGCAAAGAACAAGGAAACCACGTAAATCTCGTCCCTATCGCATTCGTTTCGATTAACCCTTTTGGCTTGTTCAACACTTAAGACCCACTTCCCCTCCAATCATAAAATAGGGTTGTAAACTTGGAGGATTGGGTGGACGGGGTGTGGAATTAGTACCTCCACACCCAATTTTACAAGTCTACACGACAACATGGAGGGACACGGGTAGTGGTTGGCTTTGGTGCTTGTGCCACCCATATCGGTATTTGTTTTAGCTTTTTTGTTTATATTTTAGGGTTGTTTGTTTGTTGTGGTGTTTAAAATTAACGTAAAGAAAAAAAAATAACGTAGTAGTGTTTACTAAGAGATCAGTAAAGAAAATTAAGTCCAAACTTTGTATCCTTTAACTTTTCATCGAAAATATTATGTTACAAACTAAAAACAAAATACATAAAATGATTTGTTTTAAAAATTAATGGAGAATTATGAAAAAACTAAATTGAAAAGGATTAATATCAATGTAGTTATGCACATATTATATTAAACAAATCAAAATAAAAAGGTGAGAGTATTAGATTTGGGAGTTGTATGGTTAGAGTAAAAGGGTGAAATCATGGGATGGAAAAGTGGATATTTAAGCGGGAAGGTGTTAAAATTTGAGATCCATATTTGGAATTAAGGGCTCGTTTGGAAGTTGCGATAGTTTTGTTGAGATTGTCATTATGTATGTATTGTTTACAATGCATCGTTTTTTTGTTTTTTTAGCAGAAACAATACATGGATTGTTTCTGTGATGTGACAGAAACTATCACTCATTTTGAGTGATTGTTATATCTCAACTTTTAGTTGTGATTGTTGAGATAGTTGAGTTGAGATTGTTTTGTCTCAGCTTTTAGCTGATGCGACATACACAATCACACATACCAAACGTTGTATTCTACAATGCATCAAATTCGACAATACATGTATAATATTATACATGCATTCTCAACAATACATCTAATTAACAATCACAACTTCCAAACGACCCCGTCTTATAAGAAAAAACATTGTAAGTGTTCGGGTGACTGTCGATTGTTGTCGAGCTTAACAGTAGGCCTGGTGAAGATTGGAAAAATCCACCAATGTAGAAGGAAGTTGTACGCATAAAATAAGACAGAACTGACTCCACCGGTAAACAACTACTTCAATTCGATCTACTTCCAGACAACGGAAGATCTGTGGCAAGTATCTCGATACTTATACCGCCTCATGATAGGTTAGGTTCAAGACGGGTAATTTACAATAGGACGCGGGTAGGGCGGGTAATTTATAATGGGGCGCGGGTCGGGACAGGTCGACCTAATGGGTATGTAATTTATGCGACGAACATTAGAAATATTCGTTATTTTCATTAAAAGACCAAATTATGATAAAATGTAGTTAAATTATTGGAGAAATTGAGATTTTCACCTATTTACAACTTTATTATAGCTAAAATATGATGTAATAAGAGGAAAATGCAAAGTAATTTGACTACGATTACATGTAATTTAGGCAAGAATAGGTCGAGAATGGGGCGGGTCAGGATAGGTCGAGTCGATGAGAGGTAACCATGCCCGCCCCACCCCGCCTACGAGGCGAGTCGGACCCGTCCAAAACAAAACAAACGGGTCAAATAAATCGGGCAGATCGAAATTGCCATCCCTACTCACAGATCCAACATACGCTTCATCAACAAAACGACACCCCCGCCGCGTCACTCTCCCACGGCTACTATCTCAAGGCGCGACCAAAGCATTGACAGCCACATTTCCCTTTGTACTTCTCGTTATTGTAACCTACAAAATCAGCTTTGCTGAATTAACTAATAAAAATTAGTGCCCATGTAACGGACGGCACCTTCCCACACAGAGATACACTACCAATATAATTTGTCATGACTCATGCACCCTTGGACACAATCAAGCTACTCACATTTCTCAACATGGGATGCGTTATGAGTAGTAGTACTAGTTCGGAGAAGAAAAAGAATAGAGGAGGCTCCGGCCGCCGGAGACAGCGTGGCAACCGCCCGCGATGGTGCTACGGCGGCAGAGATGGGAGGCGGTCGTCGGCCCCGTCGATGAAGGAGCACGAAGAGTTCCATGATCGATGCCACACCATAATCGTGCCCCAACTGGTCGGCCGTGGTGGGCCCGGCGGTTACTACAACGATCGCACGACGTCGTACTATGAGGATTCTGATGATAGCAGTAGCGTGGTGGCTTTCGCTCCTTGGAAGGGCCACAGGTTTGTCGGCCAGCACCGCCACCAGCCCAATTCCCCGGCGATGGTTTCCGACAGCTGGAGCTTCGCGGTGGGGTCGCCGGCGATGAGCCTCGGGTCGCCGGTTATGTTCTCTGAGGTGTGGAGCAAGCAAGGGAAGCGGCCGACCGGCGGCGGAGGTGGAGGAGGTGGTGACTATAATAATCGTCATCATCAGCCGGCGGTGATCGACGAGGAGGCGACTGAGATTGAGTTGGAGTTGGAGTCGGAGGGGGAGGTGTCGCCGTTCGTCGGCGATTTCTCGTCGTCGCCGGAGAGAGAGGGGAAGGGGAATGAGGTTGGGGTTTTTGCCCGGCGGAGGAAGAATGGTTCGCTCAGTGACCCTACGTTTATGGAAGCTTTTCTCTTCGCCTAATCTCTTTTAATTCTAAAAAGTTAACGTTCTTAGAGTATTAAGCCTTTAATTTCTGTGGTTAATTGTTAGCCTTCTCTTATACTTGAGCTAGGTAGTAGCTATAAATCGAACTGACATCTACAAATGTTTGTTCAAATTAATATTTGTGTCTCTTACTAATCAGGCATGCGTGTTATAATTTGTGTTGTTATTTGTTAGCCTTTTCTTACATGATATTACTTTCCTGATTTCTTGACACTGGTCGACATAGCCATCAGCACGCCAACCTTGCCATCCGCTTTCAGAACATGCTCCGCAGAGAGTGGTCTGTTTGGGTCACTTATATCTTCAGAGAGGCTAATTTACTGGCCGATTGTCTAGCTCATAAGAGACACATGCTGTCACCTGGAACCCATTTGGTTGATGTTACATACTCCGTGGGTGGGTTAACCATTCGCTCGATTGCTGAATAAAAGTTATGGGTGCTAAGCACCCGTCTTTCACCCAAAAAAATAACTTTCTTGATATCTACCGAAAGTTTATCTAAACTAAATATTAGCTTTTTGTAATATATAAATCCAACTGAAACTTACGAATGTTTGTTCACATTTAACGTTTGTGGCTCCTAACAATTAGATATGCATGTTGATAATTCAAATACTAGAAAAATATCTACCGATTATATGTTTTCATAACTATTTTTATTTTTATTTTTAATTTATTTAAAATGACAAAGAGTGACATGCGCCACTACTCTCCATAGTCTCTAGCAACAACCAATGTGTTAAAGATGCATACTCACTGCCAAGTCCATGGATCAAACAAGACAAGCCATTCATAAATCACATAACTCTTTTATTTAATGGGAGTCGAGTCTCCATACATTGGCTTTGAACTTTTCATTTTATCACTTGATGATATGTGGTCGACATGTCTTGTCTTGGTGGCCTTGTATGATGTCTCATGCTCCTCTGCCTTAGCCACCTCATGTCTTACTTTAGCAAGCCTACTAGATGTTATTAACTCCTTTAGATCATTGAAGAATGCCATGGGGTTTTCTTTGACTTGGTTGCCTACAAGTGAACACTTGTCTACTCTCCGCATATTGTTGGAGACCATGTCTAGATTTGATAAGTCGACGACCACCCATGTGGCCCACTTGACTCTGTCTTTCAACATTAAAACCTTGTTGCTTGTTGGCTCCTCAACTTAGAACACAACCACCCTTGGCTCCTTGTGCGACCATGTTTGGTTGGTTTGTATTGTGACTTCTTATACATGCCCAGTTGCCCATCCTTCGTGGTTGGTGACATATACCTATTACTCATGGACGTGGACTTGCCCTCCTGTTCGTACTTAGCCAAATTTTCATGCTTGTCACAAGCATGTGTGAGTTTAAATCTTGTAACTTATTAGACATGCATCGTACTTCATTATTCATGGCGGGTGACATGCCCCATCCTCCATACTTAGTTAAATTAGCATACTTATCATAAACATGTGCTACGCTGACTTTATTCGGTTTATTGGACAAGCCTTATCCATAATTAGTTAAATTTTCATATATATAATAACTTGTTATAGCTTTCTCACGTCGTGTCTTGTTCGATATGACTCCACATCTATTAACTAGAGTTAGCGGCATGCCTTCCTGTTCAGACTTATTCATATTAGCATGTTCCCACAGGCACGTGTGGCTTAGGGTGGATGTATCATGTTAGACGCCGTAACATCCCCCCCCCCCCCCAAATACATCTCAGCTTCAACTTATGAGGTGGTAAACCTCCATTGTCCCCTTATTGGTCTTTAGGTGTTTTGAGTCCATCAGGATCCACTATTTGTATTCTCTTTAGAGGCGACATTGGGGTGACAAGGCACATGGTTTTACTTGATCCATGTTACCAACTAGACTTGCTTCCACTCCCAGATTTATGTGAGCCATATTGGGCCTTGCCCCTGGGATAGAGAGACGAGCACCCATTTTTCCCAACGATTGCTCAACTAGAGTGCTGAACATGGTAGCAAGATTCTTACCACGCGGAGGTACCATTTCAACTCCCACGCGTACATGTGATAACTCCTTCACTTGGTGGTGGGAATCTCTTCATGATTTATGCAACGTGGAGGTGGTTAGCTAGCCATCTGAGGCAACACCCTTGCCGTGGTTGGCCATTTCAAACCGATGGGAGAAAGAACAGTGTTAGTAGGAGTTGGGCTTGTGCCATCTATTGGTAAAGCTCATGATTGCACTACTTGACTATTTAGAAACTATTGAAATTGATCCAACTCATTTGCATTTTTATTTTCCACATCAAGTAATTGACCCAAACGCCTATCTACGCTAGAATTGAGACACTTAATTTGAAAATTTACTTGATAAGTGACTCGCTACGACACAACACCTAACAATGGCCAAGTGTAACCAATGGAAGGGACTGCAGTATAGTGGCTCAAGTGATAAATATCGAATCCACGGGTCTCTAGAGTTACTATTACTCAGCTTCAGTTTATTATTTAGCAAACCAGATTAAGATGAAAGAACTAAAACTACTCTAGCAAACTTCCTCTTTGCCCGTGTTTGCTCACGCAGAATTCCACACGGCCAGACTGGCCTCTTGCATGGCCGTGTGGATGTCCTGCTCTGCCCGTGTTTGCTCTCGGCGAAACTCGCATGGCCAGACTACTCCTTCACACGGCCGTGTGATCATCAGGGCAGCCCGTGTGACCTCCTTTGTGACTTGTCTCGCGCCCGATCTTCTCCCAATCGACCCTGAACTCGCTCCTAAACCTTCGTTCACTTGCCAGGACCTGAAATATCACAAACAAGCACAACCTAGCGTGAAATCGGTTTAAAACACGAGAAACCACATCTCAAACGGTGTAAGAACAGGGGTGAAAACATGTGTAACTAACGGTCTATCAAACTCCCCCACACTTAACCGTTTGCTTGTCCCCAAGCAAACCTAACTCAAACCAATGCAACTCTCCAGACCTCTATAGCAACAAACAACCCAGATCGTAGGTAGAGGACTTCCTAGATCATTTAGCAACTTACGAGGTCAACCGACGCACAAGTCACCTCATAACTTCTTCGGCGAGTCGGCATCATGGCAAACAGTGAACAGAGGACAAATGAATTGTGGATGAAGAGATTCTAAAAAACAAAGGATCATGGACTCACATTTTTTCGAGGTGCTCTATTTTGTTCTTGAAGATGGTTGGAACCCCCTTTTTTTCTGTTTTGCTTGTTTTCTGTTATTTTTCTTTTCTTTTCTTTTCAAGGGTCCCAACCTGCTCTTACCGGCCATGCCAGGAGCGGATGTCTCGAGCCTCGTGCGGGGGAAAGACATGTAAGGGGGCTGGAGGTAGTAGGTGGAAATTGGGAATGGATTCCTGTCTCCCCTTACACACTTTCGCCCTATTCGCACAGGAGACGTTATTTTGAAGCACATTTTCGAGCACCTGTTAAACTCAAAACATGATACAAGAGTCCATGACAGGTAGAGAATCCACAACACCACACAATTCAAGGGTCCTAAGATCACTAATTCACTCAATCAACCAACTCAATATGAAGAAGAAATGAGACTTCTTAAATGCATCAACATCCTCCATAGTGCTACACTACCTCCCTAGGTTGCATATTACTGTAAAGACTGTCAATTCAAAGCATACTGAGCAGGCAATTGCAAGGAAACACGTACATGGAGCCCTCAAATTTAAAAATTTGGACAGTGGACTAGGCTCCAAGCACACAAACAGCCAAACATTCACCCGCATAAATAATCGAACATCCCCCCACACTTAAGCACGACATTGTCCTCAATGGAGGAAAGATAAGGAGGGTAGAACGAAGTTACCAGATCAAGGGTGAATGATGATGAACGGTTCAGGCGGTGCATTCCAGAAAGAGAGAGTAATCATAACACAAACACCACACAAAATCTCACAAAGGTTGAGTTATTGACTCTAAAATCAAATAACAAAACTGACTCAACCGAGGAGAAAAAGAGAAAGAAATGCAAACCGACTGGTTGGGTTGCCTCCCAACAAGCGCTTCTTTCACGTCGTGAGCCGGACGATGGCTCCTAAGTTTCTGTCCATGCTAGAACCTCCTTGAAGTTGAGGTTCTCGTCGATGAGGTGGAGTCTCAAGTCATGAGCGTGTGGTGTGGCAGGTGATGAAGGCTCATGTACTTGATGCAGATGAAGTCTCCACCCTCGAGACCTCTTCTTCTCTTCTCTCGTCTCATTTCCCCAAACCAGATAAGACAGCATCGATTGGCCACCATCGCGTCCACCAAGAGGGACCGATGTCGATGTGGCCTTGGTCTGGCAAAGAGACACTGCAAATGGGTCCTTGCTAAGCAGTTCCTCGAAGTTTGGTGGGGATATCACATGTAACTCATGGCCGGTGCAGGCCTCTTCCACCTCAACTTCATCCTCAGCCTGGACGCCAATTGCTTCTTCAACCTCCCTTCCTTCTTCATGTGGTATCACCCCTGGGAAATGATCAAGAACTTCTCCAGCTTCACTTTCGCCATCCTCCACAACTTCTTTCTGCACCCTTTCTTGCTCTTCTTCTTCTAGCACGGATTGGAGAGCAAGTTGCCAAGCAATTTCTTTAATGAGATCTTCTTGCATCTCCGCACTCATGCCCGCCTCTTCAAAGCTCAGTTTAGGGTGTGGGAAGGTGTGGTCGGCTACGACATGACACTCCTGATCATGATCATCACGGGAGCTCTCCGTGACAACTTCTGTGTGTTCCATAATGTCCTTGTAGCCTTCTTCTTCCTCCTCCTCTTCTTGTATGGTAGCAGAAGGGTGATCTGGAGCAGGCTGTGCCCAAGATCGCTCAAGATCATCGACGCTCTTCTTAAGGCTCAGGAGGATCTCCTCTGTTTCACTATAGGCCTGGACACAATGATCCATACTGGAGCATGATCTCTCCATGAGAAGCCTCAAATCATAGTGTGGATCTGGCTGTGGAGTGTAGCATGGCTCTGCAGAATGGCCCGTGAAGGCCGCCATGGGTAACTCCAGCTCCAATGGCCCTTCTGGTTGTGGGAGAAATTCTTCTTGGTAATGAGGTTGTTCTTGATATGCCCAGGGATCCGGTTGTTCTCCGAAGTAAGGGGGTTGGTACTGGAACCCGAATCCATAGTCTTCTCCGCCTTGATTGCTCCAGGGAGTCTCGGGGTAATACCACCCAGATGGTGGTGGATACCCCCAATGATTGGAGAAGCCATTAGGATCCATGATTCAGATCTGCACCAACAAAAACAAAAACACCCAAGTGAAAAGCAAGGGTGGAAACGAAAAGAAACGAAAAATGCTAAAGTAACAAACTTCTGCCTTTCCTAATACTCTAGAGAGTCCCCGGCAACGGCGCCAAAAACTTGACTCGCTACGACACAACACCTAACAATGGCCAAGTGTAACCAATGGAAGGGACTGCAGTATAGTGGCTCAAGTGATAAATATCGAAT